TTGAGTTTCTTTAGAGTTCGTTTTAACCTTAAAATACAGATCCATGAAGTGCTCTTTCGAGCTCCGTGCTATTTATAGTGCCCGAGGTGCTCCATTGAGCCACCCCATACCTACAAAGGCGTGATGTGCTCCATTGAGCCACTCGCATACAAAGGCTTGAAGTGGTCTCTCGAGCTCCACGCTAAAATTCAAGTGAATTCCTTTTCAGCTCTTAGTGTATACCATAAGTATTGTGTAAGAATTATGGCAGAAACGTTCCTCCAAACCGTGCTAAATTATAGTTTCTTTGAACTCTGTGCCGATAAAAATTCAGAATTCCAGACTGCCAGCTTAACAAAGTATAACCTTAAGTCAAGTTGGCGACTTGATTTAAAAAAAAAAATTAAAATTAAATCATATGATTTCATTACATTGTTGACAAGTTAAGAAAAAGCTTGCAAAAATAGCCATTGCAACATTTGCCGCAAAATCACATTCATAAAAGATAATTCCATTTCTCTCTCTTTATTTCTCTTTATTTATTGTAATGTGAAAAATTTGTCATATGAAATTACGTCATAACATTTTGCATCGGCATGTAACCTCTGATAATTGGGTAAAGATTCATTTAATACATATACAATTTCAGAAAAAATCATTAATAGTTGTTAATAGTTTCCCAAAGGCGAGCTCTCCAACACAGTAGTGTTGGAACCAGCAGCTTGTTTTCATTTGAAATATTTAAGTCCAAGCTTGCGCGATTCGCACGGCGTCAAATATTTACGTGACCTTGAAGTTATGGAAACAACTAAAACGCCACGGCATACGCGGCGAAAAGATGAGAAATCCTCCACAAGAAAGAATGCAAGAGCAAAAGAGTAAGAAAACCGAAACAATATGACACTGATTGTCATCGCCTGACTGACCAGGATTCCAGTTCTCAGATGGAATCAAATTCAGATTGAAATTTAAAAAAACAAAATTCCCATATTTACTAGTTATACATCGGGCAAACATGATTAAAACGCTCCAAGTACTTTTTATTGTTGTAAAAATAAGCGCATGATACCTGCGCGTGGATTTTTTTTCTTTATCTTTTTTTTCTTTTTTTTTTCTAAAAATACACGGATAAATTAAAAAACAGCTCAGCCTAAAAAGAATATAAAGTTTCCTTTAGGAAAATGGAAAAAACCGGAAAACCACACAGCACGTCAAGAAATTTGAAACGTAGCGAACCTCGACACGTGTTCCTCTGGTTTCACCATGAGTGTATTTCGATTTCTAGTTGCTCTTTTGACTAGAGGCTTCAACAAAGCATCAAATCAGCTGGAAGACATTGGGGAAGAACGTTTAGACTGGTAAATGATTCTTCGGAGAAATTTCCAGGCTATGTTGCCACAAAAGATCTCCATGCACCATTCACATGAAGTGTCCCTTAGTATGAGCCGGTCAGATTATTCGAGAAACAGCACATAAAACAATGACATTTGACGAGAAAATTTTAAGATTGCATCTTGAGGGTGGGAGGGGAGCGTAATTCGGTTTTTCAACATTCTAAATTTCTTGTCACATTATGGTTTGATGCGAAAACCGACCGCTATAATCAGTGTAATTTGCTGCTGAAATTTGTCAGGAAACAATGAATATGGCAACAACGCCGCTGCTCACCACAGCCTACGGTGCGGGGAAAGCCATTGCAAGAGCTCGCAAATGATATTTTCGACTATAGATGCAAGTTATGATGTTTAAACATCGTCACACTACAAATTTTAAGGGGTGTCTTTCATACTGCCGTGCTAGGGAAAAACGCCGTATGAGCATTCGAGAATTGCCAAATTTTCCAGGATAAAACATGTGTTTTTGACGAAATTCATGCATATTTTTTCTTGAAATTTTCAGATATTTTAGATTAAATTGCGCACACAATTTTCTGCAAATTTAGGAGAAAAATATTCAGAATTTTCTCTGTAAATTCGTTGGTTATTAAGGGAAATATGGTAACGGCTGATGGTTCATACGGCGTTTTTCCTTAGCACGGCAGCATAGGAAACTATACGAGACAATCAATAACAGGAGCACTCTTAATCCTCACGTAAGAAATTGGTTGATGATTTAACATAGTAAAATTGTTAAAAAATATGTCCGACGTGTTTCAAATGTACATTTTACAATAGCGGAAAGTTAATTTAACCACGTGGGTGGTTAAATTATCATTTTCTTCTTGTAAAATCTACTCTATGTCTTGCACTTACGAAGATATAGTCGCCTCCCGGCCAAAGCATCACAAGCGCCATTTGTAACGCTGGGTGCAGAAAAGGCATTTCTTGGTTGCGATGTCTCCGAACCTCCACTAAAGTTTCATCCAGTGTAATTATAGTAAACTTATGGAATTTCATTAAAGCTTTTATTGAATTTCCTTCATGTTTTTACAATGCTGGAATAAAAAAATTTCAGAAAATTCATCCAATTGTTTCCTCTCTAAAATATGAATTAGCGGCGAAGATTCCAAAGCACCGCTACCGAGAAATACCCTTTCGACATCCAACGCTTGGATGCTACGTTGCCGACCATCAATACGGTTGCAATTTATCTCTGAACTTTTGCACATACTTCTAAGAGAATTTAAGGGATTAAAATTGAAAAAAATTGGTTCCATTCGGCGATTTTTCCATAAAAATTGCATCAATTTGATAAGTTTGGTGACACAGTACCTAAGCACAAACATTATACTTGTGATACTTTCACTGGAAGGTAACGATACGAACTTCAAAGTATCCGCATCATGCCCGATTTCTTCAATAATTGAATTTTTCACTGTGCGGCCGGCGCACAGTGGATCGAGTCAATGGGGAAGGTCGGACAAAATTTGGAAACTTAAAAAGCTCATAACTTCGTCCATACAAAACTTTGAGGTTTTAAAAGTGTTTCCGATGGTTTTCTCGTGAAATTTTCTTCTAAGAGCACCCCTTAAACTGTAAGTTGTGACTAATTGAAGATCAAAATTTGCACTTTTAGTTTACAATTTCATGTCCGACTTCTCTGATTGATTCGATCCACTGTGCGGCGTAGGTAACAAGCAAGCTTCGACGCACGGGCCCCAGCTGAACAGCTGATCGCATTCCAATCAGTGAGCCCGAAAACAAAGACAAATTAGGAAACGACAACATTCAGATCGAAGTAATCCACTCAACGCCAGAACTATCCGTCCGAGTTTGTCGATGGAATCTTCTAAAGCTATGCACGCGGACATTTATTTTATGATGCACATCTTTCATATACCTATATCTATAGATTACATATACATGTTTGGGATTAGCTTCTGCCGGGGAAATTTCACGATAAGTGGAAAATCTGAGGTGGCCTCGTAAGAAAAAAAATCAAGGGTGCACTTTCGAAGAGAAAAACAGAGAAGGATTGGGTACATAAAAATTTAAATCACGTCTTGATTTGTTTTCCCCAATTTAATTTTTCCGTCTGAATTTGGCAAGTTTTGCTAAAAATGACTAAAACAATGAGCTTGGAAGGAAAATCTTTGCGTGATTTGGAGAATTCCTGCACATCTCATGCCACAATAAAACAACATGAATAAAATATTTTATTTTTAATTAGACTCCAGCTGAGGATAGATTCACCTCTATGCCAGTGGTTGCTGATAAAAACCTAGCTTCGCATGAGAAATTGCGGTGTCTCAAATTGTAGATGCTTTCTTTTTTTCTCCTTTTTTCCCCTTGACCATGTAAATTGCGGTCTCGACGAAAGGGACCTTCCTGCAGAAGCGTTTTCTCACAAGCTCTCCATATATTCTAGGGTGGGCATGAATAGATCGCTTGTTTATGAGAAAATGTAGGTAACGCCCATTTTCCAAAAAAATTATTTTGATGTCTCGAACCCCACTCTTGTAAACCACATATGTAGCGAATTATAAAACTTCCGAAAATTTCGCTGTATTTGGATAAAATATCGCTGAAAAAATTTGCGAGATGATTCAAAACACGCCCAACTCAAAAGTAGTTTTTAACCATTCAGAAAGAGGTCTTAAAAAGACCGTCTTTTACAAAAAGGATAAAAATGGATGGAAATTACAAGAGGTGGAATTAGAAACACCCTTGAATGTGGTTAAGATTGCCCAATTCAATTCACGTTTTACCAGGATTTCAACTAGCCCCAAAACCGCCTCTCATCGTTGTCACCTCATGAGTGGGTCAGAGATTTAAACATTTTAAAGATGTCCGTTTTGAAAGTAAAGAAATTGACATCGCGATGTTCTATGATCCACTGCGTAAACATTTCTCTAGCCGTAATTTTCGAAAAATCGACAAATGTAACCTTTGGTTGCAATCTTTAGAACAGTGTGAGTTCAGTTACATTTTCGAGAAAAAAACTACGTTTTTCCTTAAAGAGTAAGGCTACTATTTAACCTCAAAATTTTGAGAAAAGTCCCTTTTCAAACATCACATGTTCTCTTCCATATGCAGGTCCACCTTCTGCACGGCGAGAAAATTCTCCCTTTGTGATCAAAGAGGATAGACTCTCCGCCCACCTCTCTACCCCTCCATCCACAGTCACTTTTCCACTAGAAGAAAAGGGGCAATCGCCCCCCCTGTTTTTGAAATCCGTTAGACCCTTACATGTAAGCCATTAGGGGTACTAAAATTGCTGAAAAATTCAAGTAACCAATCAAATTAGTATACGATCATTATTGGTCGTTTTATTTTTTTTTTGTATTTTGCCCCTTTAAGAGTGCGAGTAGGGCGAGGAGTGAAAGGGGTCTTTCATCCTTTATAGCACGTACTAATCACCGATTTTGGGGGGAAAGTTGTGCCGCATGTAGGATTTCGGCAAAAAAGTGGAGTCTCAAATTCTTTTAATTTTGTTAATTTTGACATTGAACTCCCCCCTCCCACCTCCCACCTAGAACCCCCATTTGTTGCTTTGATGCAACTTAGTGCCACAAAGGACTGCAACTAAAAAACATTCGTTGCTTTCATGCAATAAAAAGGGTTGAAGCAGGATCGACTCACTTTAATATTATATTACGAAAACATCCGAAGCTACTCCCATTCGCAACCAGGCGGGAGTATGAGACTGTCATCCTTTAAAGCAGAAGCACCACAAACTACAGCACAGCACTTTGAATTTCACCATTGACTAAATTTTCCGGCGATCGGCACACACACGAAAGAGAGGAACCAAAGGCGGTGACCCGCACTGCACTACCGGAGCCGGGCGCGGATGGGGGTGGCCGCCCGCGCGGCGAAGGGGTGGTCGGGGGGCGAGGGGTGGTTTCGGGGGGCGAAAACTACGAGCCGAGGAGGAGCATCGTTGACGGACCACGTAACACGTTTCGTACACTGGTACTGGTCGGGAGGAATGTGAGCATTGTCAGGTTGTGGCTGCTGGTAGCGAGCGCAACCGGTTCGAGGTTCGACACCTCTGCGGGAGGGGCGGAGGGGGGTTGATCGTGGCGCGGCCAAGCGGAATGCCAAGTCGCGACTCTCGCTCGGCTAGGCCTGCGCCCGCGCCCGGTCCCGCGTGTGAGCGTGAATATTCATCTCGGCTAATCTCGTTAGGTGTACTGATATTCGCGGACGGGGACGCGGCTGGGAGCGGCGCGGCGCGAGGCGGTGCCGGTGGACGCTGCCGCTGCTGCCGGGAACGAGAACGAGCCGAGGATCCGATCCGATCCAATGGTGCCTCCGCTTCATTGTTGCTCCAGATGCCTACCTGCCACATCGCCTATCGAAACCCGGTCCGAATATCCGCGGACTCCCAACAAACCCTCCGCAGACGGAACCAGGGAGATGGGAGAGGTAGGGTGCCTTGGAGAATATGGACACTGGGCTACGTGAAGCTCTTAGGATCCAAAAAATAGCGGCGACTCTACACGGAGAAAAAAACCTCGTGCGCAGGACCCGAAGTTTAGGTCATATGGATCTATGCAGTTTTCAGGTTGAGCATCTGAACACTTAAGGTCTAGCTGTCGAGGTTCGGATCACACATCTGAAACATCAGTTCTTACATCTGAAGTACTTCAGATGTGAGAACCGAAGTTTTTCGGATGTGAGAACTGAAGTTCTTCGGATGTGAAAACCGAAGTACTTCATACGTAAGAACTGAAGTTTCAGATGTGTGATCCAAACCTCAGCAGCTGGACCTTAAGTGTTCGAATGCTCGATCCGAAAACTTCAGAGATCAATATGACCTAAACTTCGGGTCCCACGCACGAAGTTTTTTTCTCCGTGTAGATGGGAGAAGGGATTGTTACCAACCTCTGACGTTTATCCCCTGCGGCCTGATTGATGAAATTGGTAGACAAAACTTAAGACCAAGAATACAAAAAGGATACGAAGGAATCCTATTGGTGGAGTCGGGTGGTTGCAATGGACATATGGAAGTATTTCTATCAAACAGAACTACGTGTAGGTGGGAAAGATGGGGTGTGCGACACAACACAATGAAAATAAAGCGAGGGAAAGGATGCGCGTTAACGACGGCGCAGAGATACAACTATTCGTACTTGATGGACGTCTGTGCTGCATCTGAAAAATTGAAGGCGCGATGACCCGAAGCGTGACCTCTAAATGCTCTGCTATGTGCTGTCAATGAGGTGTCGCTCAGTTTCGGGAGAAAAGTTAAAAAAGAGGCCCGAATACGTCATTCCTGTCTTCGGCTGTGTTGATACTCATTCTTTCTTCTGTCTTCAGGTTCTTGTCTGATTCTTTTTTAGGATGGATTTGCAGACCCACGTCTTAAGCTCAAGCTCGTGGTGTAAACCGCAGCATTGGCTCGGTTTTTTTTGGAAATAATGGTGCTTGGATGCGTCTAGTGTCTATAATTTTGTATGTTTTGTTTAATTTCAGAAATTAGTCGGTTACTTAAATAGTTCAATTTTGCAATTTTTACTCTGTGTGATTAATAAACTTAGAACCTGAAAATAGTGTGAACTTGTGCAGCTTTGCCGAAATCTTCTGAACCCCTCTCCACGTAGGGGATGCCCTACCAGGAAATACCACATTACGCCCCTTTAACCAGCCAAGGGTCTACGCCCTCATATGGGAACCAGTCCGACCCTGAATATGAGGTAGGTAGTAGACAAACTAAAGGCAATCGACGATAGACCCTGTAGTTGATGCGGCTGTGGGAGGACCGTGCAAGAAGCGCTATGAAAGCGGTTTTTATGGATGTATGTATAATGCATGTATGTATACACACGTATGCATGTATGGAAGAAGAAAATAGGAGAAAATTGCAGATTTTCCCATAAATTCGGACTTTTGGCGTGGAGCAAATTACGTGTTTGCTTCTGGAGCCGCACGGAAGAGGAAAGTGCGATACCAAAACCTTCACGATTCAGCAAAAGTGAAACGTTTGGTTTCGGACGGCATCGCAAAAGAATCGGTCGCTATTCTGGAACTTATTGAATCTCTAAATTTTAAGGATATGGGTCAAAGATGAACTTCTGTTGGTCTTCAGTTAGGTCTTGTTTGACTTGGCGACTAAACTACGTTCGGAGATGAGAGTATTGTATCGCATCATAAAGGCACTTACTTGAAATTTCTCACAGCTTGTTCCGATAAAGATACTGTCAAAAAGGGGTCTCTTCTTTGGAGACGTGGGGATTTCTTTTCAATCTGTTTCAAGTAAAACCTTACGATGAGGCAATCCTCCGATGAAAGGGCCGCGAAGCAGTCAGGGGTCTAGGTCTATTACCCCCTAGTGTAATGAACATCCAATATGCGGACGGTAATGCATTTGGACGTATTTCTGCCAAACGGAACTATGTGCATTAAGACATGAGCTCTGAGACCCATAAGGATACAAGCGTAACAGGGCTCACGTCATAGTGCACATAGTTCCGTTTGGCAGAAATACGTCCATTTGTATGGTGGCTCTATCAGCAACAGTCAGTTGAAGAGGACAGTAATGGCTCCGACTGCTCCGAGTACGCGACACACACGTAAAACGCCTTCAAAACTGAATGATACCACCACAACGTTGACGCTTTGAAAATTACCTACCCACTGTATTGAAGGAGTTCGAGGAGGTTCGCCGTGAGTTTCGCAGTGAGGTTCGCTCTGCCGTCATAGCGAAGAGAGCCGTTTGGTCTGATTTGTATGAAAATCGAGATACAAGAAAGCCGTAAGTGCGCTAAAATTGATTATGTTTGGACTCAACAGTCGTAAGAAGCATAAATATGCCAGAGAGCCAATCAGAGCGGTACTTATAAAGTTAAATTCAGCCATTTCTGACCTGAAAATTTGTTTGTTGCAAGTCCAAAGCGCAACCACAAAAGCATGCAGAAGATAGCACTTACAGCTGTTTTGGCTATAACACTAACCTAACATGAAAATGGAAAAATATCCTCATTGTACAACTGAAATAAAATTCGTCAATTTTTAATCGTCCAAGCGGAGAGTCTTTCGGATGATTGGTGGCAATGTGACAAAGACTAGAGGCTTCTTTCAATAAAATTTTCTGCTCAAACGCTATTGAGCCCATTTTTCCAAAAGTTCATTTTTGCATTTACGGACCGTAGAGAGCCGTAAGCTACGGCTCTCTCCACTATCATGGCAGAACTTTTGATAGAAGAAAAAAAAAGGTATTTATCGAAGCTTGCCAAAACCTAATTTATACTTCTCTGAGCCAAAAATTTTTCAAGTAATTTTTAGTGATCTCTATCGATTATGAATCATTCAATGTTTCCGAAAAGAGTTGATGCATTTTATGCAAAGCTTTGTAGAACCCGATTAATACAAATACGTCTGCAACATTGGCTCAATAATGTTTGTTTGAGAAGTATTCATCCAAAATTGAAAATTAATCGTGAGTGTTAGTCTGAAAACCGTACCTATCTAGCATTTTTAAGAGAAAAAGTTTACGGACGGGACGAAATTAAAAACACTTTTTATACAACTATTCAATCTTCATGAAGTTAAACAATTTTCATCATTCAAGTCGTATCTGTTAATTAATACGTAAGTTTTTTTTTTTTTTTTCATACGTTTCAAAATAGAAAAGTTGATGTACCAATGTTGCTTGAATATTCGCAGAAAGTGCTAATAATTTTTAATTATTTAATTTCTTTCTGTGAAATTAATTTAATAAAAATTTAATAAAAATTAATTAAAATTAAATAAAATTAATTTCTGTGTATTTGCTAAACAATTCTGTGACAGTATTTGTATCGGAACCAAAAGCCAACGGGATAAACCTACTTGCGATCTTCAAGTATTATTACTTAACCCCCACCCCTTGTAATACTTACTTTTTTAAACGAGACGAAGCTCAAACTTTAAGAGAGGGAAAATGAGGGTCCCAACACCGTAATGATATATCGTCACCTTCTGGCCAAAGCATCACAAGCGCCATGTAACGTTTAATAATTTCCGCCGACATTTTATTTTCTTACAGAGAAATTGTTGGCTGAATCTGTTTGAAAATGTCACTGAATTTTATCGGCAGAACAAAGAAAATTCGGTGAAATTTTCGAACAGCTTCGTTGAACACTTTCTCTGAAAAAAAAAAATAAAATAAAATAAAATGGCGGCGGAAATTTTTGAACGTTGCAAGGCGATTGTGATACTTTGACTGAAAAATGACGATATGTGGTCATTTATTTGCCATTTGGGGCATAAATCAACTTCTTTTTTTGTTATCAGGAAAAGCCATTGACATTTTGCTAAAATTGGAACATGATGAAAGGACAAGTGTCCTGAAAAAAAAAAGCATCTTGATTAAAATACCGGTCTTGGCGCGATGCGGTGTTGCAAACTACAGTGTTACAAATCTTCAAGGTCGTGGATTCTGTAAAATCGGCAGCATTATATAATCTTCACTCGCAAGAGGCGTCTACAATGGTAACATTGTAGTTAAAAGATAATAGCAACACGATCGAACGTAGAAAAAGGGACCCCGCTCCGTGGTGGAAACATTTTCGATTCGGCTATTTTCGTTGAGTTGCGTCGAAAAACAAGATTTTAGGATTTCGACCGAAAACACCATATGATGGCTTTGTATAATTTGGGAACGGCCATTCATTTTTGTGCAAATGAGAGCATAAAATGACACTATAATTCAGAAAATTCGTGTCCTGAGCATAGTAGATTAGAATTTCAAATGGACGGCTGGAACCCGGCCACGTCGTTCAGTGGATCAAGTCAATAGGAGAGGTCGGACAAAATTTGGAGACTTCAAGAGCTCATAACTCCGTTTATAAAAAATTCTGAAGTTGTAAAAGTGGTTCCATTGATTTTCTCGTAAACTTTTCTTCTAGAAGCACCCATCTATTTATTAAATCTTGCCCCTTAACATTGTTAATTTTCTCTTTTGTTTTGTTTTTCCTTTACAAGTTATATCTACACTTATATTTGGTACATATTATATTAAGACAACAACTGCAGTATTAAATACTGTTAGTTAGAATAATAAGTATCGTATTAGAAT